TACCTTAGGACAAAGTGTATCTTTGCCGTACATAGCGGACTTAAGAAAGCCAGTGAGACCATCTTGAAAACGGTGGTGTGGAAATGAAAGCGGATGGTATCATCCATACAAACTCCAAAGTGTCTGCAGTGGTACGTAAACAGGGCCTGTGGGTACATAAAAAAAGACCTATCTTGATGGAGTGAGGAAGTGCTTCATTAATAAGACATCAGCTGGAGTAGTGCATATAGCTCTGGTATTTGTATTTCAGGGACAAAATGGATTCAACCAGAATTTAGAAGAGGACCACAAAAAGTGATCCAAGGGCTGGGCAAAAGTCTTGCAGCGTAAAGTTTGGGTTGAACTGGAGAGAAGGCTGAAAAGTGACTTATTCGTGAGGTGTGGGAGAGAGGCAGGACATTTCAGCCTTGCTGACAAAAGAATAACAAGTTCTACTGGCTGGAAGAAAAAAACACCTTGTAAAATCATGTAAAGCAAGGGAATTAGTTCTTAATTTCTACTTCTTTACGCAAAACTGAGTCCAAACAAACGACTCAGAAAAACATACAGTTTCTACTTAAATGCTTCCAGCTGTTCTGTGTGCTTCAAATGTTATGGATTATTATAAAGCTAAGATCTTTATTCTCTTGCTTTGCATGTCTCACCTAAAAATAGGTACAGAAAGGAACTTAAGAGACCCTCTGACAAAGTTCCTTGTCTCAGGTCTGCATAGTCTATGCTAGGAGAGGGATTGTAATGAAACACTAAGATTCAGGGGTTTTGTTGGTCATCTGTGGATCCGAAGAACTTCATTCTTGTATTGTATAATTTGGCCTTTAAATCTTTTCACCTTCCTTTGAGATTGGCCACTTTAGGACGTGCAGTATTGAACACAGGTGAGCTGTGCCTTCAGGTGCGACAGGTATTCATCTTTTTGTTTTTCCTAGCAATCACTTCAGTTTTCTAGGTGATTCCTGAAGCTTGAAGCATGTATAGCTGAGTGAAATGTAATGGCTGTGATAACCTCCAATCATATACAGCATTCCCAGATACTAGGAGGTTTCAGTAGATTCACTCAATTGCCCTTGATTCTGCCGCCTAGCAATTATCATTATCCAATAATCACAAGCACAAGAATGAAGACTGCACTGCATCCAACATATAGTTAAAATTAGTGTAGTCTATTTCTTTTTTCCTCATGGTGTCACTATAGGATAAAGTTAATGCTCTTTGGGTATTCTCTACACTGGAACATATTTCCACTTCCTCTGTCTCATCCTGAATTTCTGGGTTTTCTAATACTTGTTTAGAAAAGATGATAACAAATATACTGCCTTCAAATCTGGACATGTTCTCTCAATCATTGACCCATCCTTAACATTGTGCGTGAATTTTTCATCTTGTTTTCTAAAAGGATTTAATGTTAGAATAAATTTAGCTTTGGATATAAGGATCTGGAGAATTTGAGCAGTTCTTCTAATGACTTGAAGGTAGGAATTGCCATGTTTAAAAAAATGACAAAAAGGCATGTATCTTACAATTAAGTGAGCTTATGACGTTAAATCTGTGATATATTTTCTATGTGTGAGGAAGAGGTCTATGGCCCTGAGTTTCTATCTAAGCTTCACTTTTTCTTGTGTGATTGTAAAGTGTTTTGAATTCAGCTTTCTTGATTGATACAAAAAGTAGTTTTCTTTTCCAAGCACTTGCTGGCAAGAGTAGAGAGAGAGAATTTTGTTTCGTTTACATACCGACAGCATTTTTGTCTGTCTAGTTGTTGCCATTTTACCCAGACCCACATTCTCAAAGAGATCTAGATGCCCGACTTCCACAGCGAAAGAGTGAAAGATGTGGCACTAGCAAATGCATAGAAATGTTAAGTAGGTCTGAAGAGAAATTTGCTTGTGGTATTGTAGAAGAGTGGGAGCCAGGCATGGAGGTGCCGTTTCCCATTCCTGCATTTGGAGCATATCCTTCCTGAAAGGCAAGGACCATAGGCCGTTTCCCTGATTTCCCTTTTCTGCCTCTTCAGTAGGACAGCGGTGTTTGGGCTGGTTGCATTCAGGATTGTAATGAGGCTGAGTGTGACTGCCTAGTCAGTAGGAAGGAAATCATCCACCAGTTGCACAAAATTTACGTCCTAGTGTGAACTCTGGCTGGAAGTCAATCTTGTACGTTTGTTTCAGTTATCTGAGCTCGTGATCAGCCTCTGTCTAGCTTGGGTTATCAGCTCACAGGTGTGAAAGTTAACTAGAACCAGTGTATTCAAGGGTGGACTTGATAGCAGTATGGTCAGTTTGCTAGTTTAGCAAAGAAGTTGGTTCACCCTAGCAAGTTATAGAGCACTAAACAGTTAGAGAGCTTTTCAGTAGAAGCCTGAGCATCATCCCCCTGTGCTTTCCAGTGAGCTGAAAATCCTGTCAGTATTTCCAGCAAGTTAAGAGTCCTTTTTTCTCCCACTCTCTTCAGCTGGTCTTTTTACATGACATAACAGATATCCCTCTTCTTAGATAAGTGCCCACATCTAAATATTGTCTCTAATCCTTATGCCATGTCTTTCACTTACATGCTTGTCACTGCCACACAGTTCCTCCGTAGAGTCAATTGTTCTTTGGGCTGGTAGTTTGGAGACAGTTAAGTTACTATTTCTAGACTCTTGTCTTGATGACATCTTAGACATCATCCGCCAGTGAAGTGTGAAGTGGGACAGCTGAACAGCACATATTGAAAGAAATCTAGGGCAAAATTAAATGAGAGTTCTGCACATGGCATAAACTGCCTGTTTTAATCTAGAATGGAAGCTATAAACTATTTCACAGTTGGATGTGAAAGTTTATTAGTTGTCTAGCATGCTGCTTTCTTTTCCAAAGGACCAACACAACCTTCTCCACAACCTGCTAATTCTCTTCCCAGTGGTCACCATTTCATGGCCATGCCAGTTTTTGATGCTGAGATGTTGGCTTCGAACTGAAGGCATGTGTAACACTTGAACCAGCCTCTCATAAGCTTACTGGTAGAATACCAGAACCAGGTATGCCAAGTGTCTCCTCTTGCCAGCTGTGAGCAGTAGCTCCTCTGGCTTTTAATAAACACCAGGCCAGGTTGGAGGAGTCACCATGTCCAGTCTGAAATGCAACATCTGCTTTAAGAAAACCTCCACCTCCACAACACAGAATTTCCCTGTTGTTTCCTCAGGAGTTTCTCCAGTCTTTTAAGCCTTCTCCCAGCAGCAGCTTTTTTACCTTGCATATTAGAGACCTCACTACCCAAATAATTCTCAAAATACTTTGTCACCCACACTTACCTCACTTTGATTCCAGTTTCATTATCTTCTCATGTCAAACGCAATCTACTTCCATATCATCTCTCTTCTTTTGCCCGTTCTCCACCCTCCCACTGTAAGGCAGTTGTTGCAAAACCAGGAGTTAATTGCAACATCCAAATGCTCCAGTTTCTTCACATATTCTCCTTGACTGCTTCTGGTTCCCTCTTACCTTGAGTAGAGGTCAAGAATAGCAATTCTCACTTTCTGATCTTTTGGAGGTGTCTGGCTTTTTCCCTACCTTCACTTTTAAGACTGACATTGTCCCCTTACTTCCAGCATACTAGGAACTTTAATAGAAAGCCTCCTTGACCAAAAAAGACTAAAGATCAAGTGGTAACTGTTTTGGGTTAGTGCAGGTTTGTAGAAGGCTCTTTAGATCTGAAGAAAAGAATGCTGAACCACTGTCCCATGCCAGAGGGGACCCCACAGACTTCTCTCCAACTGGCTTACACGTTTCCCTTTAAAATCCCAGGTTTCTGCAAATACCGAAGTGTCTTATGCCTGTTAACTCTTTTCTCTCCTTCCAGTTTCAATTTGTGTCTTCTGTGGGGGCTCCAATCGTTCACTGACTCACTGCATCCCAACATTTTTCTCTTCACGCTCATTCCCTGCCCCACCAGTCTTTCATCTGTCTCATCTTTCACCAGTCTTGCTAGCCATCCTCAGTCTCTTTTACCCCAATTCTCTCTCTCGAACAAGTTTAGCAGCTTACCGTGCCACCTTACCTGCTCGACATCTCTTTGATGAACCTAGATCAAATTCTTCCTGCAAGTTGCCAGTTCTTCCTGTTGTTTCACTCCTTTCCCTCACATCTGCTTAGAGTTGTGCTGCTGCTCCTGTCCCACCCTTTAATTTTAGGGGTCACTCAGCTACATAAGAGGTGCCCCAGTTTTATAGCCTGAAAATCTGGCCACTTTGTACTTTTGGTGCCTGAAGTGAACGTGTTTTAACATAACTCCCTGTGCGAGTCTTTACAGGGTGCGATTAAATATGGGAAATCAAGCAGTTCAGCAGTGCACCGAAGAACCAATTAATTAAAGATTTAAAGTATGAAGCATTTACCATCTGTAAACAAAAGCCGTATTCTAAACCAAAACTGTCTCCACAGCAATGCCTGGGTTGGCGCGGGACAAGATCCAAAGCCCAATGAAATCGGGGGAAGGGGAGGGGAGGACTTTTCACTGATTTCGGTATCCTTTGGATCAGGCCTCTCATGTCCTTTAGCAATGATAAAAAGATACACGAAGCACTGGGACTGTACAACTTCATTTTATTTTGTGTGCTTTTATAGGATATAAATAAATGACAAAATTACAAAATTTATAACTGGAAGCCCAAGCATATTTACATAAGTATTTGTTGCAGTGAGGCTACTATTTACTGTTCTCCTATACAATTTCCCTTTTGGTACCATATTTTTAGTGTTATTTTTTTACTGTCAGTTGACTACGTACATATCAACAGTGAATAGGCAAAATATGTACAAGGAACTATTTTGTTCAAGTAAATTGAATACTGTATTAAAAGTATGTCATCACTCAGCGCTATGATTAGGTTTAACTAAACCGTATACAATTATCAGGTTTAAACCAAGTTCAATTATCCGTTTTTTGGAATTTACCAACTGATGATTCTAACTGAAAATCTCAGCTGGATATGAAATAATAATTAAAAAAACATTAAGACAACCACACAATTTATCAATATCTCTATAATGAACTTCAAAATGATTCACAATTTGACTGGATAGAACAATATACGTTAAAATGTCATTTTTCTCCTATAGTGATATTTGTACTGTTATAATTTCAGTTCTACATAAATATACATCATGGTATTATACAAATACTCCACAGACATTAAAAAAATTAAAACACTTCAAAGAAAATGTAAGTAAATCTTATTTAATCAAATATTAAGCAAATGCTTAACTATTTTGTTCCATGAAAACATTTTTATTACTTTGGAATTTTTTTCTTTTTCTCGCTATTTTTATTTAGAAAATGTTTTGCAGTAGAATTTTATCAACACTCTTCCAAACAAGCTTTCTGTGACAGAAATCTTGATAGCAAAATCCATGGTTTTGACTTTTTTTAGAACCACTGAGATTATTTCTTTAAAAATACTAGTAGAATGCATGGCTATAGCAATGTTGAACTGCATAAACTGTATGTAGGTGTAGTAGAATGACCATTCCACTTTCATTCCAGACTGATCACATGGAACATCCAGTGCACTGATGCTACAACTCTTATAATTTTCATAATGCTGCAATAGCAGTGGTTTACTTAACTTTAAAATAAACAATATTTGTCATAATTAATCTGGCTTCCTTCCATAAATATTCATATGTTTTCCTATAGTACTTCTCTTCCATAAAAATATCTAATAAATGTTTTCTGTGCATTATCAATACCTTTTTCTAACCATTCATAAAACTCTGATCCTTTGTTACAATGCAGGAGGTTCCTATTTCTATAGAGGATCAAAGGACACCAATGATTACATATAAAACCAGCGCACACAGAAATCAGGGTGCCTAATTTCTTGTCATTTTAATGAGTTCTTTATTCAACACAGTAATTACTAATGAATTCAGTGGTTTCACAAATGCTCTATTTATTAATTCTGGTTCTATTTCAATTAAAAACTGCCAAGATTTAAATAAAAAACCAATCAAATCTTCTACTCATAGGCAGCATTAGTGTTAGTTTAGAGACCTTTTGTTTTTTTTTAAAAAGTAGAATTCTAAAATAAGAAATCAAAGAAAGCACTGTGGCAGAGTCACAAGGGAGAACTGCATGAAAAATAAGGTTTCGCACTCCTCTTGTGGACTGTAATTTTAAAAGTCTTCATGTAGTGTCATTCTTCTGTCAGTGCTGCAGGAAGAAGAACATCACCAGAAATGACTGTCAGCCTTTTTTGTTAGTTACAAGGCCACTCATACAGTGCAGTCTTCCTCTCTGCTGGATTGAAACGTTGCCATAAAGGAAAGGCTGTGCTGTGACTGCTTGGCGTGCAAGGCACAACAAGGAACAGGGGGACAGTTTTGTATCAGAAAATCGTAGTTTCATACTTGGTATTAATGCCTCTTTTGGCTTCTTGTCCAGGTTCAACAATCCATGGTAGATTCGCAAGAGTCTTTTGTTCAGATGGATCTATCTGCTTTAAGACACATGCAAACATACAGACGGTTACCATCTCTGCGCACAGCGTTTCTAGCAGAAGTTTTTTCTTTAAACGAACAGAACACAAATAAATCCTCTATCGACAAGGTCCTACAGCAGCAAGTGCAGTGCTCTACACTCCCATGTACCCTCGGTTGCCTTCTTTTTCCTCTTTAGATCAGAGCTGTGTCTATCCCCAAGCTATAGGGCATCATAGGTTGTTAAAGCTATGCTTAAAGCTAGACTTGATCCTGAGAAGTCCTTTTGTTACTGAAACAGTTGATTGCATCAGGAAATGTTCTTTCTCTATAATTTTATGGATGTAGATTCTGTGGCAATGGATGACAAAGTATACAGCAATACATTTTTTCCCCCCTTCCTCTCATCCAATAATTAAGTATCACAGAGTATGGTTCTCACTTTACAGCCAGTCAATATAATACAGTGTGCGGTCATTTTTCCCCTTTCTCTCCCAAGTCACCCTGATTTAAAACAGTTTTCATAATTTTTTTTAAAAGCTCTACCATAAAAGACTCTTCCTCTGCCATCTATGCACTTCAGGAGGGCACTTTAAAGACAATCAATATGTAGGCTCCAATGAACTTGGATTCTTAGGAGTTTGGGATTACAAAGAAAATATTGAAAAGGCATATTGAATCCCAGTTTTGGAACAGGAGGGTCTGCCGAGGATTAAAAAAAAAAAAAGAAAAGGGTAAGAAAAGAAGTTGCTTGGTGTGACAAGATAATTGTAAATTGATTTGGATTTGTAGTTTGATTCAGATACATATGCAGTGACGTGAATCAAACAAGTTTGGTGCTAATTTTATTTCTTGATACGAGATCAGGAAAGCCCATGGAACCACACAGTTTTAGAGGTATGCATTAGCTGTGACCCTCAGCACATAAAAAAGCACAGTACATTAGAACTAGACCAAATCAATTAAAGCTCTGCAGTTACTATAAAAGACATATGCGCAACACCAGCCAAGCAACATCTTAAACTGGAGGAATCTGAAATGAGCGGTTGTTGGAAGCGGTTGCCCGTGCTGCGGTGACACAACCCTACTGGCTGATGAGCAGAGGTGGCACAAGGGAGACATGGAGCATTTCTGACCCAACAGGTATATTTATTTATACACCTTCTACGTATATCAAGTCTTAACTGTATAGCTGAATTTTGTTCTTTGCATGCACCACTACTTTCTACTTACCACTGACTTCCGAATACTAACACGTGGTTTGGGAATAGGCTTGGAGGGTTTATTTTCAAAGCTTTCTGGGAGGGTTGAAGAATGGCCCCCTTTTCGTGCTTGTAGTGCAAGCTGATAGGCCACCTCAAATGCTTGTCCTAGCGTAAGAATGATTTCGTAAGCTAAATTCTGGAACAAAACAAAAACAGTTAAAATTGGAGTGAAGTTGAACTATCGTCAGATACATGAAGTGGGGCAGTACTGTCTACAGAAGTGATTTGTAATGTAAATAATTAAAATCACACTGGTAATAACTTCCTAAGTCTCTGCAATATTTACATCTGTCATTTGATTTCTCATTGATTAAAAACAATCTAAATGTAATTTATTGTACTGAAAGTAATTACTGAAACTAAAACCTTGAAAACATTGTCTCACTAAACATGAAAACAGGAGTGGGCGAGTGTGCGTCATCTCTTTTTAGAACAAGTACATTAGCCCCCCCAACTTCCCCGCTCACCCCGTACCCGCTGCTCTCAAAATCCCACCCATCTTGCACTACTGCACCTATCTGACGTTCCACCTTGCTCTATTTCGGACCTCCTCTGCTGACCCGTCCTCCTCCAGGGCTGGCAGCCCGACGCGCGCCCTCCCCGGGCGTGCGCCTCGGGATGCTTTGTGCTCTCACCGAACAGCGCGGGAAGGGGCTGCAGCCTTGGTGTGATGCCTCCAAAAGGACAAAAAGCAAATGGTGAAAGCGCGTGCTCTGCTTCACAGATGCGGTGCACCTATGCATGCATGAAAGTCGGTGCTCTGCTTCAAATGCACGTTTCAAGTGCTAGGGCAACCTTCTCATGGTTTTGCTCTCTAGAAGTAAAAATGTTTGAGCTTAAACCGTGTGTATGACTAAAGAAGTCAGGCTCTTAAGACTAAGACCAGTTTGGTGGTAAGTTCTCATTGCATATGTGGAAGAAAATCTGTCGAAAACTTTATAAAGTATGAATGAGGATCCAGGGGGTTGGTATAAGTATTTTTTCAGTACAGTTTTACATCAACTAAAAAGCAGCTGAGAGTGTCAAATTTGACCTGTAAGTGCATTTCTATGGTAATTTTTTTTCAGGTTTGTGGGTTTGTTTTGTAGGCTCCTACTAGAGCCTATTTCTAGGCTCCTAACTTCCCAATACCGTTTCGAACCCCTGCAAAGCAAATGCAAGCTGCAGGCCTGCCTCCTTATGTCCTGCAGTCTCCTTAAAATAATTCATAAATCTGATGTAATTCAGAAGTTACCCTCTCCTTCCTGAACCTCTGCAGCCCATAGTTGGAAGCAATCCTGCATTGCTTTGAAACTAGGTGATCCCTTAAAATTCCCACGGTTCTAATAGAATTTTAAATGAGATACCTCTTTAGCTAGTCAAGTCTAACTGTTGAGTTTGCAATAAGCCAGAAAGCAATGCAAGACACTTGGCAGTACACTATCTGCCCTTCAATCATTAAAACACAGTTAAAAGGACAAGCATTTTATTTCATGCCTTTCACTGTAGCCATGAAGAAATTCCATCCCTTTGTTATCACACATGTATAGTGAGATAGTATAGGCTAAATTGAGCATATGTAGCTCATTATAAGAGCTTCTTATAAAGGTGCCAGCTCTGGTCTTTTTTAGGTCAGAAAAAAACCAGTTATGCTCCTCCCCTGGGATATGCTCTCAGCTGTTATGACTGCAGTCACAACAGCAAGATAGCCAAAGTTTCATAGCTTCCCAAATAAAAATGTCTGCCTGATTTGATAGCAGTAGTCTCCAAGTTGTCTCCCCTTTAACTTAAGGAAACTGGCCAGGACCGAGAAACACTGAGGATGCAGTTTGCCAGTGGAGTAATAAATGAAAGGCTAAAGAGACTATTATAAAGCGCCTGCCTTCTATCAGAACGCTGGCTATGAAATTGAGACCAGCAGAGTATAATTGTTAAAAATGTACAGAATAACATTATTTGAAATGGAGTGTGCCTATTAGTAGGACAAGATTATTATTCTAAAGACATCTTAATCTGCTGTCGTGACAGTAAGATAGTGTACTACATCAGCAGGGGATTGTCTACAATGGATATTATTATTGCTAAGGAATACTTCAACAGGACAGGGTGTAGTAATGGCTTGGAGAAAAAGTAGACTGTAATACTAGTGTGACTGAGAAAATGCGCCATCCAGTGTGACATACAAAAAGGTCACCGAGAGACAGGCCTGAAAAGCTCTGAGATAAGAGTGGAGACAAGCAGAGAGTTTGCCATGCTGAGCTATAAATCTAGCCTGGGTCCTGCATCTTGTCAGAAGCCACTATGATTTGTTTTCTTTCCTAGTCTGTAAAATGAAAAAATAGGCCTGCCTGGAGCCTGGGAGCCATTGGAAACATATAACTGTTTCTATGGTTAATAAATATTTGAAATACAGCAAATAGAACATTCACTGTTCTGTTCAATATTCAAAATGTAAACTGACCGGTAACATGAATTTCATACATTGTGTGCTGCGATAGAGCCTTGACGAAGAGAAGTCTGAAAATGGGGGCAAGGAGGGCTTTAAAATTGCACCTTGCAAAATTTAAAAACCACAGCTGCAAAATTGTATTTTGAAAAAAACAAAAGTAAGTAAATTTGGTTTGAGGAATTTCTCACCTGTAGTCCTAGGAGAGGAATATGAGGATTAGAGTTTGTATGGATTCTTGCATGGGCTATACCAGAGAGGTAAGAGCGGAATTCCCTTTGGGATGGGGGCAGAAAACCAAACCACAAAAGCCGTTGTGGAAATTCTTCTGATGGAGTGAGGAGACCATCTGATTATTTTACATGTGGCACAAAAGGAAGGAAACAGGTCTGCCTCCCCGGAAGATGCTTGGCACAAAAGTTATAGGCCCCCTGGTCACCATAGAAGACATTGACCCTTACAGCACCCCACTGAGCTCCTTGGAAAGGAGCAAAACTGTTAGGACCACGGTGGTTCTGAGGCTGCTACAAGCCTGTTCTTTGCTCGGCACAGCAGAGGAGGGAAGTGAGTAAGCTAACACCTTTAAGCAGCAATTTCTGGGAGATGAGAAATCGAGGTCAATTGCTGCCTTTGCCACGTAATGTTACAATTCCAAGTCCCAGTGCAAGTCTGAGTCAGGATTCTTCAGCCGCTTTAATTCAGCCAACCTATTACAATGGCTAATTGTTCTGTTACATTTTAACTCACTTCTACTGTGTAAGTTGCAGCAGGCACTGCTCCTTCGTTGTGTTTTCATGCTTCTGTAAAGCTATTTCAAGGCTTCAGGAATATTTTAAGAAAGAGAGTAAGATTTCTGTCTTTTGAGTGATAAAAACTTAAAATGTCACTTGCAAAGGAATTTTTGGAAAAACTAGCATTTTGCCTTCTTGGGAAAGCGCTTTTCATATAATGAGGATTTTACAGGTTTTTCCTTTTAGGTGATGATTTTTTCCTTCTTTAAGATCAATGTCAAATCTGGTCTTTTTTGAAGACTGAATTTACTGAAGAAGCTTCCTTTGGAGCCTCTCAGACGATTAGTGTGAGCTACCCATCACATCGGATGTGCAGGAATGTCAGTTTGGACACCCCGTGTTCAAGCTACCGAACTTAAAATCACAGTTGGCAAAAACGGAACAGAACCGAGTATATGGAACCTTAACTTGAAAAATCTGAAAAATCCCATCCCAGTTTAAAATATCCATTCCCTGAGATGTAATCAGTTGCCTACTTCTTAGTTGTAAAAAAAATCTTCAAGGCCAAATGTTGAGGATTTCTACTATAAGAGCCTGACAAGAAGAGAAGGTTACTTACTAGTAACGGGAGTTCTTTCAGATGCAGAGCTGACATACATATACACTTACACTATTAAGTGTACACATGCTTCATCCCTCCAGACCTCAAAACTTTTACTTTTAGGGGGATCTAGAAAGGACGTGGATTTGTCTGCGCTTTCCAATGTGTCAGCCTTCGTGCATTCCAGGGGAAGAAAGCTCAGCTGGCCAAAGACGGTATGATGAGACCAACATGGCTGGCATTTGCTTGTAACATCTGTGGACTCCTGGGCTGCACGAGGCTTTCGTGATCAGGCACTCCTGCAACTTAAATTCTTGATCCTTTCTCATTCTGGATTTAAAGCAATCATGGAAGGCAAACTCTTCTGAATCCATCTCTCTCTTCTAATGTGGCACAGAACGACATCTTGTACGCAATGGGAGGATGGAAACAGGCCTTCAAAGTGGGCCTTTCAGGCTGTTGCAAAAGCCACTGATGTAGACGAGAGAGCAGAGATTCATTTGCTCATGAGCTGAAAGCTCCTTGTACCTGAGTGTGCTCCATCTCAAGAAGTTTGCCAGGAGCAACTGAAACGGTTTGATGCATTCCACCTAATATTCCCAAGACAGGGGACTGTCTGGGCATTCTGTCTCTGGATACTGCAAAGTAAAGAAGTTTTCTGTTCTGGAGACATGGGGATGCCACACTGATTGTACCTGGATGATCCTCTGAACACAGAAAAAATGTATAAAGTCCCCTAATCCCCTGGAAGAAGGCAATGAACAGAACTTTGAGACCCGAATGCATGCTTTTTCTTCTCTGCTAAACATGTATACCAGCAGTTTACAGTTCTTACCCAGCTTAAGTCTGTGCAATGAAGGACAAAAGAATACAGAAAAGAAGAAAAAAGTCTTTGTGTTATGTAAAGCACCAGTCTAATCCTTGGCATGAGCAAGGGCAGAAATTGTTCCCATTTATGCCGGTTGTATTCTATTCACAGGTGCATTGGGCAATGAAGGAATATCTGATGGAAATTACTTTGGATGCCTCCCATATATGAACCAGAACTTGGTATAGGAACTGTTACGGTGGTTTGTTTCTCCAGAGGGAATCCTTTACTGGTAGTTTTAGGGCTGCTTTATAAGTGAATGAGAGTGAAGTGGATTTCAACTATTGAGCAGTAAAGCCTCTTCTTCCCCCAAACCTTGTCCCCTTCCGTATTCTTTAATCAAGTCTGATGTTTCTGCAATTTTGATGATAGATTTTAATTCTGAGTAGAGAAGTTACATGTACAGTCACTCCTAAATAGTAAGTATCAGTAATACTCGTGGTTAACATGTCACTACACTAAAATGCTTTCATATCTGCAAAAAAATTGTTCTTGCCCACAACTGAAGGACCTAAGCGAGTAAAATTTTTTTCATACCATTGCATATATTGTATTACCATAATATATATGATTTAAGATGCATCTTTTTTACACCTTATTGTGGATTTCTACCATTTTAAACCTTATTTTTCTTAATATGATCGAACTTCTATCCACTGACAAATGGATAGGACTGTTTCTATTACCAAACTGGAAGATCAGGCTAACGTGTGTTAGACTTTAAATAGAAAATTTAATTTACTGTATGCTTGTGCTTCTGAATATCTAGCTATTTTTTATGGAGCTTGTACTGCATCAGAAATGCTAGATCCTGAGAAATAAAAAAACACAGAAAGAGAATATTTGAGTAGGTAACACCCCACTAAGGATTATGTTGCAGGAGAAAACTAAGTTAAGACAGTTAGACATTAAAGTTTCTATACTGCTTAAAATAGCCATTTAAAGTGCTTGGGGTATTAAATGCTCCTCCTAAGGTACAGGAAGTGAGCAAAATGTTGTAATTATTCCTGGATCACTATTCTTTCCTTGCCAAGCCAGGAGAAAATGAATTTCATCTGCTATACCTGGGTCTATGTTTGTGCTTGATTATTAAACCTATAAATGAAACTGCAGTACTTTGAAACAATTAAGAAGTATTTAAATGGATCAGGAGAAATAATAACCTCACTCAATCAGTCTAATTTCAGTTGATTCACTTATCACTAAAATCTATATAATGTAACATCTTGTCGACCATGGTCTAACTATTTTTAACACAATTTTGAAGTTTTTTATACTCCCTGTGGACACTAAAATGTCAGCAGAGAAGTTAAACAACAAAAGCACTGAACCAAAATGCTAAAATTCCTTCTAACCTACCTTCCTGTACATCTTTTTATTTAAACTATCCTACATGCTATCGCTCTGCAATAGCGATTGACTATTTCCCCAGCCACAAATAAAATGTCTCAGTTCAGATTTTTTTTTTTCTATTTAACTTATTTATATTCGTGTAAGCATGTTTCAAGAATTCATACACGTTATACTATATTCAAATATTTTTTCTTGAATGATTTAAAGTTTTAATAGCATTTTAAATTTCTCTTGTGCTTAACTCAAATGGCAAGTATTCCTGAAGTTTCTGGACAATAAACCCTCTTAGTCCTAAAAATTAGAGCCACTACTTATTTCACCAAATTCAGCTGAAAACAATATGACTTGATTAATCGATACGTATTCATGATTTCTTGAAACTAGTAGTCTGTGCATCACCATCTGAGAAGCATAAATACAGGAAGAACGTAGTCATTTTCCACCAAAATAACAGGAGCTGTAAGGACTTTTGCTGAAATAACATTTTTGAGATTTTTTTTTAGGTGAGAAGCTTGGAACAAGAAAGTAAGAATTAAAGCATTAATTTGCTATTTTCAAAATAAAAGCATCTTTTTTGAAAAGGAAAAGGTGCTGCTAAAATAAAATTTCCCCAAATTCCACATCTGCATTATTTGGTAAGCTAAAACGCCCACTGACACATCAAGAGAGCAGAGAACAACAGAAGGGCCAGCTAATAATAATAATCTGTTGACAATTACAGGGATAACCTCTTACACAGGAACACAGAAAGGACAATGCTCTGCACAGATCTCTGTTATCACAGATGTTTCAAATCTTTCAGATTCAGTGTGGTAGCCAAATATTCCTAGGACCTCTTCAGATAAGTAATTAGTTACCTGTGTGGTCTCTTCTTTGTCAGATCTGTAAGTGTTTCGGTTCCCTGGTTACAGTAAATACAAAACTTTTCATACATTCTCTACACATTTGCAGAGGAAGTTTCAGTTTTCCAGTTCATTCAATATAATGTCAAAAAGTCTAAACAATATTTAGAGAGATGTTGGATCTATTGGGACTGATCCAGCTTAACACTGAAACACTAAAACTCATGGAACAGCAGGGTTGAGAAATCTGAAGAAATCACTTACTTACTGTGGTAACATCTCATCTCCGACCCAAAAAGCAGCCCACATCTGCATCATGCACGTGGGACGTGTCCAAGCTCAAAGGGCCGCCACAAGAAAGTGTCCAACCCTCTCACCCCTTGTTTCTGGCATGGGACGGACCCACGAGGGTAAAAGCCAAAAGGCTGGACATCACCAACCCAGTCCTTCCCTGACTATATGGGCAGTACAACATAGTCAAAAACGCAGGACACCCTGCAGACTTAGTTTAAGCTTGTGCCTGAACCCTCCTCTTAGCAGGACTGCGCACTGTATGTAACGCACATTGATCCAGTTCTGATTTGTTTATTTGGTGTGTGCTGAGATTTCAGAATGGGTGGCCAAACCCGCTTGTTACAAACTTCTTGGAAGGCTATAGCTTAGGTTAGAAGAATTACGTGTCAAGACTTGTATGAAAAGCTACTCGCTAAGTTTATGGTCAACAGCTGAGCTTACAGAGGTGAGTTATTTCAGATGGGAAATGAGATAATCTTTGCTCTTCCCCAGAAATTTTCTTTTACTATGCCATAGTAGATTAGTCTTTTCATGTGGTAAATGAATGATACCTTCCATTAATCACCATATACCCTGAAAATGTTTTAATAGACTTAAAGAACTATTACTATTACAAAGAACTACTAAATGAAGTATCTTCTATAAACTGACCACGTCAAACGCAGTGAATACATGGCAGTAGTGATGATTAGTCTTCAAGTCTTTAGTGATGTACGCAAATGTAGAAAGGTCTTCAGGGTCTTGTGCAGCACAGGAAATGTTACGGATTTCATGTTCAGCAATAATATTCTGTTTAAAAAAAATATTTTCAATCAATTTAGGAATTAAATGTAAAAGAGCTGTAAAAGGTGTGTTTTTAGGTATGCATTTATGCTCATCTGCTGTGCTGAAGTATTTCAGAAGTTTCTTAGTAAGAAGAGATTTAACACACCCCATGTGTGATCTTACACAGGTCATTGGAATTTTGACCCTCTCCAATGATATCTAAAATTGCCAATAATCTGGTAGGAAACAATTACATTCTAGAGTCTTCCCTATGAGTCCGCTTGAGTTTTGTACAGTTTATTCAGTATCCTATGACAAAGAGACATCTTTCCTGGCATACAGCTGTAAATACAGTTTCAAAGCACTATATGAGCATCTTATGATGCTGCTGGTTGCCTGTATAATGATCACTACATGACACTGTTTCAGTCTACTGACAGACAGGATCTGGTGAAAACCAACAGGCTCAATATCCAGTTTTTTGCATGTGTTGTTTGACAAATTTTAGCTATACTTTTTCAAGAGGAAAAGACACCAAACATCACTTAGAATTGAAACCCTTGAAAGGCTTCTGCTTAGTAAAAAGATAACTACAGGAGGATCTGGCAACTTTTCTCCACTTACTGACAACAGCATCCTGTAAGAGAGATGTAGAAAAATTAAACCATTCATGCACCGAGCAACACCACTTGCAACAGCCAATGTAAGCTATAGCATACTACTGAGATAGAGGTAGGGCATGTCTGTCCGATGAAATAAAAAAAAAGCTGTTTTAAAGCTTTGGAGAAAATTATGAATATTCATTACATAAATTGCTGACATGTAATTATTGTGTTCAGGCCAAAGGAACCACGAAGCCAGAGAAGAAGATACTGCAGAGTGGCTTATGATTAGGCCTTGCTTCAGCAACACACGCATTTCAAATGATTTATTTAAACCGAAGAATGATTCATTGAATATGAATTTACTTAGCAGTTAGTTTATACACTTTTCTGAATTGTGGCCTGACTGGCTGTAGCTCTGGCTTTTCCACAAAAACCCAAAGTGAATGAGCCTCCTGCAGCATGACATCGCTATTGCACCACGGCACACGCGACGTCTGTAGTGTCCCGGGCCCTCCCAGAGCCACCGTTTGCTGCTGCCTCAGTGGCATCTGTCCAAGTTAAAACAATCTCTGAGCACCTCTGGTTTTCCCTCAGCCCCCTCTTTTCCTTCCCACATCCTCTCCTCCCCCTCTTTTTTTTTTTTTTTTAAGAACAGAAATATATGCACTTAGAATGCTTTGCCGTATCTTCTTTCATTTGCTAAGTGGCAACTTTCCCCCTTGCATGTAGGTGTCAAGTTTTCAAAAAGACATATTAATATATCTAATCGAAGAAATCATGGCTTAGGAAAAATCTTAATAAAAAGCATTCCAAATTTCAAACTACGGAAAACCCAAGATAAGGAAACTGTTACTGAAGAAATGAAATAATCCTCGTAATCTTAAAGTGTTGCAACATACTTGATTATTTCTGTTTAATGCATTATTCATAATAATGACAAAACCAGTACTTGTGTTTCAATATATGCTAATTTCTAACAACACGTATAATCTCTGCTTAACAATCATTGTCCTTTTATGTTACTTTAAGCTTTGCTTTGTTCTCAAATTGATAACTTTTACCCTGAATAAAGATTTTGATGAGAATTACAATTATACCAAAAACAGGGATTTAGATATCCAGCGATATAGCTGTAATACACTGTCATCGATGTTGTATTGGCAAAATTGTAGTTTAGAAGGCAGAAAGAATTAAAGCTTGGAAGGTCTTAAAATCATGTGAAATATTTATGCCAAATCATGAGCCACAAAGTAATCACCTGAAGTTATGCAGTGTATGTGAAGAGAGCTCTGCTATGCTGAAACATTTCTGAGGTGACCAGGGCTTGACACAGGGCTTTGCACTTTAGTCAAAACTCACGGAGATTATTTTAATGTTTTAACTTTAAACCAAGTGAAGTTGGAATCATATCCATATCAAGTTTATTTCGAATAAAAAGAGCTATACCTAAAATAAATCTTCTGGATGAAAATTAGTAGTGAAATTGAGCTTCTTCCCTAGCTTCTATAGGATATCCTCTGTGATCGCCTTTCAAAATTAAACATGTTCTCAGTGCACGCGTTTACTGTTTCCTAGGGTCACTACTCCAGTAGACCCATAGTCTTATTTCTGTGGAAATTACAAGGCTATGAACCAGCTCGCTGTTCTGGGTACACTCCTCAGGCATTGACCGACACTGTACAGTCATCGTTCTAAAATTTGTCACTGAGTTTGTCAAGAGAAACCTCCGGCGCTTCTGAAAAAAGCCGGGAAGCTGAAAGCCAGTTCTGGTTCTGCCAAGGAAACACCTTTGAGAGACGAGGTTTTTGCTAAACAGCCTTCTTTTTGCTCGCCTACCTCGTGTCAGACGATCCCCCTCCTGGCAGAAATCATCCAGAAGTTAGGGTTAGCTGTGACCCACGAGAAAATTCTGCAAGTCTGCTTTTTCCTAAGCAGCAGTTTCTTTCTGGCCTCACTTGCAAAGAAATGGTGTCATGTCAGAGTGGTGTCATGCCAAGCTTCAAGGCGCCACTGAAATAGCTGTCGTGGAATGAGGTCAGGGCCCCTTTGTCACCTGAAGCTTTGCCTAGTACAGGTTCTTAGCTTGGTGGCATAAAGGAAAAGGATGAACAGCCATGAGAGCTGAGTTTTCAAGCACATAACTGCTAGCTATTTTTGTCATTAAAAAGTATGCATTTATTGCTAAGTGGTGCCCAGCGCTGTCAACTACAAGCTCATACGGAAGCGGTACAAGTCTGAAGAGCATCTCACCTTAGTGCTAATCTGTTTTGGGTCTTGAAGGAATTGGGTACAGCACACTGTGGACAAGGCTGATAACAACGCTCCTGGGAGAGTTGCAGGCTATTACCTGGTTTTTACAGAAGGGAAAGGCAGTGCAGATTTTGAACTGGAGAGAAAGCAATCTACCACTTGCGAAAAAACACAGGACTCTGGCACTATTTACCTCCACCAAACACATCTATTGCACTACTAGGCATAAGATTTCAGTGGGACTGGTCTAGAGCCACCTAATGCAATTTGCCAAACTTCTTTCAAGTTTCCACCTTACATAAGATTATATGCACTGTGCAAAGAGATACTGGAAGCTCCTTTTACTCTGATTTTTTTTGTAAATCTAAGGACATTGCAGTTACATCCTTTACACTACAGAGGAGATTTAAGAGCTGACAACAGCCTTATCCAACTTAGAGTTAATAGCATTACAATGTCCTGATTTATGCCCTGCACATCAGAGAAGGAAATGAGGGTTGTAGAAGCTCAGTTTTGAATCAATGGAAGAAAAAGGAGCTGACAGGAATCCCTGGCCTCTCTGCTCTGGCAAGTACACCAGACTTGACATAACAGTAATTTCACCTCTGTTTTTCTTTCATGCCATTTTCTAACCCTAGATACGGCTTCCAAACTCTAGCAGAAGTTCACAAATCTTCTTTCATTCCTTCACTTAAAACCCAGTTCTAGTTACACACTCTTAAAAACTGACTGGCAAGTTTGACGGATACTGGGTTGGATGTATCCTGTGGTCTGAATGTTCAGCAACACAAAGCAGTTACACACATTATTAACCTGGTCAGGTAGCTGGGTTGTCAGATTTATTTTTTATATTGCTTAGTGAGTTTTAGTCACGTAACAGAAAAGATAATTTCTTTTCTATTCATATGCAAGCATCAGTATGGATTGCATTTTCTTGCCATTTTAGACATCCGAAGAAGAGAAAGTCATGCATTACTTTACTCCTGCTTACAGAGCCTGTACATTTTACTTTAGCTAAGCAATAACCCATTGCTCTACCCATCACTGAGTTCTCTGATCTCTCAATTTCTGATTTTGTTTTTGGGGTTTTTTTAAAGATGTTGGATGTATTTTAAAATGTAAGAAACAAAGCACAGGGGCATTGCCACACAGGAAGATGAAAAAAATATGGAATAACAACTGTTAAGAAGCTGCTGCAGTTCAGGGAGTCAAATGGCGTACCAGGAAAACAGCTCTCAGAGAGGCTCTGACATTTGAAAAGGACATTCAAGGCTCATGTTTCTTATTCTTACAATGGCCAGCCCTGGATAAAACCTTGCATCTTTATTCTTCATTGAGACATCTCTATTTTTTTTTTGTCAAAATTATATTAATGAACAAATATATATATATTTTCTGCATATTTAAGGAACTGTATAGGGAAGAATATGGTAAAGGATTCCACAGAGGCTCCCTGCCAAACGTCTTCTGTGATAAGCTTGCCTTTTAATGGCAGAAGGTTGGACACAATGTTCTCCAAATGAGCCATTAAAGCTGCTTCACTTGTCCTCCAGACTGAGTTTCTGGAGAACGACAATGAGATCATATCCGTTTTGGAGAGAAGAGAAAAAAGAGAGGAAAACACAAAGTGCAACTCTCTCCCCGCTCTCTCCCGGTGCTCTTACAGAGCCAGCCTCATGGGTATTCCTATTTGTGAGAAATAAAAGCTAATATTGAACAATTGCACATACCTTATTTGTTGCATCAATAAATTTGACTCCCTTGTAAGAGACAGACAGGACAATGGTTGGTACTTTCTTCATTTGTTCTGTAGACTTCTGAAATCAAAATGAAGATGCTGTTAGAGTTGTGTTGCGTTGCAAGAACAGTGCTTTCTCTTCTTCTTCTGACAAATCACATAAGTCAAAAAAAAGGTACTTATCCAAATATTTGACTTTTTCTTGAGCTGACTATGCTCTGGGCTTTTGAAATAGCTGCCTTGTAGTTATAAAACTAAAAAGAGCTTTACAGTTTGTTGCGAGGATGGTAAAAATTCTCCTTTTTCCTAGCACAATGGGAAGAGAATGAAATAAGTTTGCCAGGCTTAAAAAGACCAGTCATGCAATCAGGGGTTTCCCAAAACGTGCGTGTTTAAGACATCAGTCTGATATGCCCCGTTCATCGCTGCCTCCCCTCTTCCTGCCCTGCCCAGCTGTAGAAACCACCAGCGCGGTACTCCTCGTAGTCCTGTTTCTTTGCTGCAATTAGTTGTTATTTAGAAATATTTCACTCCCTTGCCTTCTTGCAGTTGTATTTGTGACAGGAGGTACCCCTGCAGCCCTCTAGGCCTGCCAGTCAATCTGTCAGTCCAACGTTGTACCTTGTCACGTCTGACCGTCTGCACTTCCTCGACTGCAGCTGCTACTGGAAGCTGCTTTACACATGAATTAGCACAGAGGTTTATTCTGCATTCCCTCAGTGCCAGCTTCTCTTACATACAGTTCATGTCTTCCTATAAGGCTTTTTTTTTTTTATGCTGGTTTACTTCTGGTGTGCCTTCAACGTGATGCACAGACTGGGTAAATGTTTGGGATAGATTCTCTGCAGAAAAATCTGTTGATTAGTTTACAGATTAAATTTACTAAAACAACCCCAAAACCAACCAACCAAAAAAACAAATATGGCATAATAGTTTATAGCTGATTTGAATCCTTTTAAGGTGGAAGGCAATGATGGACTAGGCTATTTTATACAAAACTACTGTAGATAAATAAAGTAGATAACGATCAGAGAACATTCACTCATGGGAGTATCTGCAAACAATCACAGAGATCAATCAAACATTTTCTTGAGAGGAAAGGGTAAGTTCAATTACAGCTAAATATGAAGAAACATCAGCACACAGAATGAGAGTGTAAGCACGCTGAAAGGTCTAGAATTGGCACCTACAAAGATCATTAGAGCAGCTGAACAAAAGTAGCAGCGGTGGTTTTGTATTCTTCAAGAAAAATGAAACAGCATAGATACAAGCTTGAAAACACAGACTGTATCTGAAAAAAATATGTCTGAAAAATAAGTGATGCTAACACTAGAGAGCAAAACAAACAAACGCCTAAAAGAAAAAAACCTGTAATCAAGTCCCCTTATCAGATCTCGTTCCTTCCAGAATCAAATGAGACTCCTTTTTTGCCAGCATAAAATTCAAAGCTACAGATCCAGCTACGTTCTGCAATTAGTGTCCGTGCCATGAAGGCTAAAACCTGTAATTAAAGTTTCAAGGAGAGCCCCACCCATCCGTGTAATAGAGAGGACTGTTGCATCTCACAGTATCAAATGACAAGAGGCTCAAGACGACAATCAAGTATCAATTTATCCTGGAGAAAGCTTCTTCCAGCCAGAAGGCTAGGCACTTTTAAAAAATGAAAGCTTAAATGGTAAAACGTCCTGAAGAATCTAACAAATTCTGAAGGAAGACACTAATCTGATTTGCACGTCTCTGAACAGAGTGGAGAAAGAAATGGTATCCTTGCCAAAAGCAGAGCAAGTACGTACCTGTGTGTTTGTGTGTGTGTCTCTAGAATAGACCTCAAATGAGCCTTTTCATAAAATTCAATTTCAATGCACAGAAAGCACGACAGTGACTGTACGGAAGCTGCAGTACATACATCTATCAGAATAACAAGCAATGTATCCCGCATATGCTCATAACCAGACAAAATATTCACAAATATGACAACATCACTTTAATCATCTGGCAACCCAGCAATCATCCAACTTTTGTCCTTTCTTTCTATCCCGACAGCTACACTCAGGAGCTCTTTGTCTCCCATTTTGATTATTGTAATTATCTCCTTCCTCGCCTCCTTAGCAGCAAAATTCCTCTTCTCCTCCAACACGCTATACAAACACGGCTACTAAGTTCATTTATTTTAGCTTTTTGGTCTAATTTGCGCTATCTTCCATTTGCCATGAAGGTGAAGCTTCCTGTTGGCGAGGCCACTTTGTACTAACCATCTGGGAGGCCTCTTTCATCTAGACCAGTAGTTCGTAATTTAATCGTCTCCCTTATCTGCTCCACATTCACCTGGGCTTGTCTAGAGCAGACCTGATCTTTAGTATTTAATCGAGGTCGTGAACTGCAAGACTGTATCTGAGTGAAATAGCTCATGAAGATACTATTAAATTATAGCTGGCAAATTAGGAAATGAATCAGAGACTGATGGGCATTTGTAATTTATTAAGCCAAACTGGCTCAGCTGGTAAGGGGCAGGGGATGTCCCTTATCAGCTTGCAAACCATACAGACCCCAGGATTTGTGCAAAGGTGTTCTGGAAGACTATAGTCCAGTGTAGAAACATGATTTTGGGAAACAATTCTGCACTTGTACCCTCATTGCAACAAACAGTTGGGGAGTGGAATAACATCCTTTGTTATTATGACAGTGCTGTCATGAAAAACACACAGCTCTATTCCCCCTGCTTGAATCCCAGTGATACAGTAACTGAAGTCCACCATATAATTATTATTTCCAAGCAGTTTGCAGACTTCAACAGTTTTGAGTTGTCATGGTGAGCTCATACTATTTGCTTGTTATTCCTCTCTTTTTAATGGAGGAGGTGCCTGCCAGGATGTGTAACGTGTTTTCAGGGATACAATATGAATACATTTCGCTCAGGCACTGTAAGTGCTTTGGCTCTAAATTCTAGGATGTTGAGATGAGTCCCACAGCTTTCATGGTCAGACATTTCACACCTCTGTGCAGGCCAAGTGGGCATCTCTGCCTGTGCCTGTGACCAGAATCTGAGAAGACAGTGGGACACAGGAGTCAGTATTCCTTTTCCTTGGGCTTTTCAGGTTCTAGCCACTGTATCAACTCCGTGAGGACATGATGAGATGACAAAATATTCTTGTCCATCTGGTGCCTCTATGGGAAGCGTATGGACTGGAGCCAAAGTTATAGGAACCACAGCTGAAGGCTGGCATTGGATGTCATGTGCATGCTGACATATGGTCTAATGCTCCAAGGCATGTTCATACCATAGCAGTACGATTAGATTTTATCTCATGTAGAAGCAATCATAGTGACAGGACCCTGTCTTTGGGCAAGTGCTCACTAGCCTGGAACTGGTCATAGTTCCCATGAACTCCATCGTTTCCGACTGTGACTTTGGCTCTCTGTTTTAATACACTTCTTTAGGAGAATCATCTGGATGAACAGCAAGCATATTCTAGGCTCATTGCCACTGCCTGTCTCCGATCAGCTGGTCATCTACATCAGGACAGATGTGCATGCCCTGTCTCCTCAGGTGCACTGCTCCTGCAGCGAGGAGTCTTAACACTGCACAGTCTGCAATGCCAGAGAGACTGAGCTTTGGTCCCACTTCTGAAATACTTCCTACCAGACAGGTAGATGACTACATGGAAGCAGGCCATGTGTAGCTCAAGAACGCTAAAGCAGGCTTGACTGCAGACACAGGAAGACGGAAGAAAGCATCACCATCCTAAAATCTAATGCGACATATGTTCCGCTTCCCCAGACCCCACAAAAGTCACAGAACCTCTTTTTCTTCAGAATAAAGAATATCAGGAATAGCAGCCTCGCCTGTATTTTGATGCAGCTGCTGCGATGAAGCTGCTTTATCCCCTCAGCACCCAGAATGGAGATCCATCCAGTGGAAGGAGGTGGAAGGCATCTTCTGCAGAATTGTCTAGTTACTACAGTGCTTGCTTTTAAGGTCTGGATTTAAGATCCTTCTGAGTTTGCATCTGAACCCACTGCTGCCATTATGCAGGAGAGTGCAAAACCCCTGAATAGCCCTGGACAGGGCTGCTCCCAATTCCTCCTTCTGAAAGTGGTCACAAAGGGATGCAAGAGCAGCGGTGCCAGACAAAGCGAGCAAGTGCAAACTTGCTTCTGATCTTGTTTATGAATTTTCTTTAGTTTCACTGAAAAAACCACCATACTCACAAGCAGACTCTAAACAGATTTCCATAGTATAGTACCACAAACTGTCTTAAGTGGGTAAAGCATTTCCACCTGTATTTTGATTTTGAGTTAAAGGCTGTGCAGAACTGCTAGACATTTACTTAGAACATAAACTAAAATCCAACCGATTTGAGATCCACCCAGCCAGTGTGCCTAACAAATCAAGGTAATTAACAATGGCTTAAGAGGCAGAGGACTTTGTTCTATGAATAAAGCAATATAAACTAGCTGTTTATTTTTAAAAAGCAAATACAAAACCTGTAACAGGAAAGGGCCTTTAACCCTTTCAAGACAGGATTGTACTGCAATACCTCGTTCTGTGCAGAACTGAGAGCACTAATCCAACACTTTTGAATACTCCTGCAGTGTACAAAACATGGTATCTCTGTGCACACACACACACACACACAAAGCAGCTGAATAAGAAATTCAGGAGCACACGTAGAATGGTGTCTGAGCAAGATGCTCACTCGTTCACTTGATATACTGTAGCACATGGTGTAATCCAGCCCACTCTCAAAATGCTTTCATCTCATCTATTTATTTCCTGCCAGGAGGAAACGGGATACACTGGTACTTCTTTCTCTCCATCATTTACCAGCAGTCCTGG